AGTCGGAGTTAACTCTCAAGAAGCAAGATGATAAATGATACGTTATATATATATATACTTATATATATATAACCCAGACACCGATCCTTCACGCATTTCCATTTACTTTCCAAAAATGTTACTTTTCACTGTGGCACTGTTCGTTCAGGAGGGGCAGGGTTCGCGCTGTTCTCACGGTGGAGCCTGAGTGCATGCTCCCGGCCATACTCGGAGATTACCTCAGACTTCCCACAGTACGACACCTGCAGGGGCTTCTCGCGCTCCATGTTGTAGCGGTTGTGCAGAGCCATGATGGCACAATCGGCCTCCTCCGTCGATCCGTACTCCACAAATGCACTTCCCTTGCTGCGGTTGGTTGTCCTGTCGCGAAGTACATTCACGTGGAGCACCTTTCCGTAGAAGTCAAAAAGGGCGCAGACGTCTTCCTCGGTTGCATCAAAGTTCAGCTGCCCCACAAACAGACGTGCCTGTCCCAGCACCATGAATACAGGAAAGCAGACACAAGAATGCCTCTTGTAACCGCTCCGCGCCACCTACTCTGCCCTAAACACTGCGCAAGGGAAAAAAAAAGCAGAAGACCTCAAAAACGAAAAAAAAAAAGAAAGAGCAAACAGAGCATCCAGTGGCGTATGCATGTGAAGAGAAACAAAAAAGTTAAGACACTTGAAGCAATATTGCCGCTCTGCCTCTCGTCGAGAAAAGAGCAAGAAGGCTACCGGCGTCTTTTCCCATGTGCCTTATCCGCATGCTTCAAAAAAGTTTAAATGCATCGTGCCAGAGCAATAACACACGCACAGATAAGAAAAACAACAACAACAAAAAAACAAAAACAAAATGGTGACTTCCATTGCTGCTGGTGTGCCATAGAGGTTTTTGTTGGAAATCGAAGCAAAGGGCATTCCTCAACTACACTACGCATGCCCACCAAAGGAAAAGGTGGGCGAAAAAAATATTCTCTCATCTGCAATGCTTACTCCATGCGCATATGTGCCTACATACCCAAGTAAATAGATATATAGATATATAAACCCGGAAAAAAAAAAGGGTTTCTTCTTTTTTTTCTTTTTTCAGAATAAAAATCCAATTCTCGTCTCTTTCCTGTTTCTTTTACTTTTCATCACAACAAACGTTTGGCTGGAGTGGGGAGAGATCGGTCAGGTGGGGGAGGATTCGCGCTGTTCTCCTGATGTAATTGCAGCGCCTGTTGCCATCCAAAGGGAGAAATCAATTCCGATCTTTCACAGTACGACACTTGCAGTGGTTTATCACGTTCCATGTAGTAACGGTTGTGAAGTGAGCGGATGGCACAGTCAGCCTCGCCCGTTGAGCCATACTCCACAAATGCGCTGCCTTTACTACGATTCTTAGACTTGTCGTGGAGCAAGTTAACACTCAATACATGACCATAGAAATCAAATATGGCACGAATGTCATCCTCCGTTGCACCAAAATTAAGTTGCCCCACAAACAGACGGGCTCTTGGTTTCGATTGTGGCATCGATCTGAGAGAGAGAGAGAGAAGGGGAGAGCAATAATAATAATAATAATAAAAGAGACGACGCTGAGTTCGCACAGCCGTACGGAATATTATACAATCACAGTAATGATAGCAACCACGCACACGCTGAATTAAACTCACACACACACACACACACACACAAAACCAAATCAAAAAAACAAAAAACAAATCAACTTTTACTTATTACAGTATGTATGGAGTTTGAGAAGCAAAGTCAACTAAAAAAAAAAAATGAAAAAGAATATGTATATATAATATATAATATATATACTGAGCTTGTTATGTGAGATACCACTTGTCTTACAGGACCCTTTTTTTTTTTTTTTTCAATTGGATTCACTTCCTATGTATGTAAATAGTTGTTTTGGTTTTCAGTTTGCCTCCTAAAGAGTGTGTGCTGCAGAGGGGGAAAAAGAAAGGAGAGAAGAGACGGAAAAGAAATTGTCACCAACCCACACGTGGCAGGATTGCCTGTCGGCCCCCACCCTCCTCAGACTTACGAGGCCAATACACACACACACACAGAGAGAGAGAGAGAAAGACTTTGTGTGCGTGTGTTTCAGAATATAAACGAGTAAGTGTGCAAAAGAAAAAGAAGTTAGTTGTAGCGGTTGTGGGTGTGGCAGGGAGGCCAACAACAACCCGCCGCGTCCATTCTGTGTGAGAAGCAAAAACAAAAACAAAAAAATAATTTGCACAAACCAAAACTGTGCCTGTTGTGAAAATAATCGAAAAAAAAAAAGAAGAAATAAGGAAACATGACAGCCGAGGCAACGGAGACGAGGGGGCGCTACCAGCGGGCGAGCGCAGGGTAATCCGCCAGCTTAAGAAGCGGCCGTCTCGCAGGATCGCCCACCGCAGCCGTCACGGCCTCATGTGCCGCCGTCGCCGCGATGAGTTCCTTCTCAATGGCCACAGCACTGCTGCGCAGGTACGGCTGCACGTCGGCTTTGCTGTCCACGAGCACCGCCCAGCAGGCCTTTGAGTAAGTGATTTCACGCCGTGCCAACATCGCCGCATAGCGATCAATGGCCAGCACCACTTCTGCTAGACCACATCCAATGACGTTTCGGTTTTTCAACGGAACGCTCCAGTTGGAGTGCAAAACGCGCTGCGTACTGTGATGAACGTTGTTGTCACTACCCGAAGTTTCTTTCAAATCCGTGGCGGTGGCGGTGTTGCGGCTCTGGTCGTGTTGTTTTTTCCAAGAAGTTTGCCCTCGCAGGGAGGAAATTGTCGCGTCGCCGCTCTTGAAGACATCTGTGTACGTACTGGAGAAAGAATTCGGCACCCCCGCCGTCTGCGCCGCTCCCTGTTCCAAAAAATGAAACAACTCATCGACCCACTTAGCGGCGGGGTGACAGGCCGACGTCCCGGAAGTGGTTGGGTACAGCATTCCGATGGGTGATGGCACCGCCAGTGGCATGTAGCGTTGCTTCACGCCAAACTCCGTTGTCTTCGAAGCTGTTGCGGCTTCTCTCAGCCGACCCTTAGCAGCTGGTGTGGTGATACTTTCAACAAGCGTGCCATGAAGAAACGGATGCCGCAGGGGAACGCCAGGAGCACAGTACAGAAGAAAGGGCACGGCATGGAGCTTCTCCCGCCACATCACTGTTCGCCACTGCCACAGAGAATGATACTCCTCGAAGACTGGTGACAAGATGTACGACCCGACACGCACGCCGGCATATGTGGAGGCCGGACACCGCGGATTGCCCACCGGCGTGTCCCCGCCATTCGACTCACTGGCACACAAATGCTCCTCCTTTTGGTGTTTGTCTTGTTGCTGGCGTTGATAAAGGTGTCTCCGCTGTTGGTGATGAAGAGATACGGCGAGCGCCGGTACGCGGCAATTGTGAGGAATATGCACAAGTGAACCGCCAATTGGCAATCGGCTCCTCATTAGAAACCCTCTCTTCCCCTCTACCGCGCAGCCGGTGCGTGGAATGTGTGTAAAAATCTCTGCAAAGAAAGCGAGTGGATTTAAACACCCCCGACTTTTATCTGCCGCACAAAAAGAAAAGTAAAAAAGGAAAAAAAGGAAAAAAAAAAGAAGAAAGCAATCACGACTGCACACATTGCACCACCCACCCACGCCTCACGCATAGTGCGTAATTTTCTTGATGATGAAGGCAAAGCCACACACAGACCCGTGGATGAACATCAAAGAAGCATACATGCATGTGTATACATAGGAGTATTTGTATACATATTTGTAGCAAAAAGCAAAAAAGCAAAAAAAAAAAAAAAGAGAAAATATGCCAAGCAAAAAGAAAACAAACAAAAAAACAAAAAGAAGAAGAAGAGGAAGAAGAAGCTACAACTTTGATTACAATCACTCTCCTCTCCTCTCCTCCTCCTCCTCCCCCTTCACTCCTTTTCTTCAAAAGCTCCTTCCATCCCTAACACATCTCAGCACTCAGCAAGAAACAAGTAACGTGAATGAAGAGAGTGTGACGCAAAAAAAGAAAAACAGAATAAAAACGGGAATTGCAAAGCATGTCTGAATCAACGATACATGTACCACGCTGCTGCGTTTGGAAACTGCCAGGTAGTAATGACTAAATTGCCATATAAACATACCTACGGGAACACTAATAACCAGAAGAACATAAATGAGAAAAAAAGCATAGGCCCTTTTACGGGTTTTGTAATACTCAATAATAGCCCTGAGAAAAGCAAAAAAAAGAAGTAAGAAAAAAGGCAAAAAGGCAAGAAGAAGATCAAATTTTGGTTTTGACGGATTCTCCACCGACGGTCCATCAAAATACATCGACAGGAGCACAATGAAAATGATGCAAAGAAACTGCCCAAAGAAGTCTCCTAGTCGTCTCATCGAGACGCAACCCCAAAAACTTTCTGATTGACGGGCAGCGATGTACAGGGAGGGCACAGACGCAAGGGCAATGGAGACATCAAGCGGAATAGTCAGCAGAACCCAAGAAGGGTGAAATCTGTCGTATGCATCGCGCCTGACTGTAAAAAGAATAGGGAACACTACAAACATCAGTAAATTTGAGAGGATACGTATGTAGAAAGGCACACCGCAGCCCTTAACATAATACGGGTCGTACAAAAGGATGTCGCTCACCACAACATTCAATGCAAAGGGAGAATAGAGAAGCAGCACACTCCAGTGCGGTATGCTAATGTACTCATCGATCCGCAGCATCATCAGTGTAATGGAAACAGCAGCAAAAAAAATACCCAAACATCGCACCACAAGAACCATAAGTGACAAAAATTCCCATCGCAGTAGAAGTGGAAAGTGACGCGGGAGGGCCACCACATTCTCCCCGCCCATTGGAAGTGACAGCATCAGACCCGAAGTACATTGACGGTATTCCTTTTGTGTTGCCGAGTACGCGACTGCGGATTCCTCCCCCTTTTTAATCCTCTTGTCGGGATCGCGAAAGGCGACACCAAAGTCAAAAATTGTATATCGCCTCCCCCCTAAAATACTGGAGACGACCAACAGGCCATTACGCCACGTTATTTCCGGTTCAAGAAATCGACGCTTCGTCGCAAACTGCAACATGCGACGCATTTTTGCACAAAACCACGGTTCCTCGTTCGGCGCGGGAAAATCCCGCAGTGGGTGACGCTTGTAGGGGCTAATTGTCAACAGCGGCACAACCAAAGCTCCATCCTGCCAACTTCTCGATTCTGGTGTAAGATCGTACAAGGCAACCTCAAAAGACATACTGAGTGTCGTGAGCTTCCACTCATCTAAGTGCATGCTCCGGACACCCGCTCCGTTAGAGATTTGACTGTTTCCACGTGGTGCGATGATCCAAACTGCGTGAAGTGGCAAGCTATTTGCTGACGACAACCTGTCTTGCATGGACCTAAAGACAGACGACGTGTCCCGCTGCAGTTTTTGAATAAATGTGTCTTCGCGGAAGCCATTACCAAATACTTGTGTAGCTGTAAGCGAGTGGAGATACGGCTGACGTCGTCTGCTCTGCCGCAGGATTTCCTCCTCTGTTCGAATTGGTGTTGTCCGGTATAAATGACTTAAGGGCTCCGATGGCGGATGCGGTGTCGTCAACGCAACATGCTCGTCTTCTTCTTCCTCCTGTTCTTGCTCCTCGCTGTTTTCCTCATTGTGCGGCGGTGTAATTCTTTGCATGCCCATTATTCCACGTCTCCTCCTAATCCGGGCAAATGTAGTACGAGTGGATGCTTCCTCTAATCGCGAGAAGGGCCTTTCGGGTTCTACAAAACTCACTTTAGGCGGGTCGTCACGAGCATCGGCACACGATGGGGAGAGAAGGAGGATTGCACCACTGACCATTCCAAGAAGAAAAAAGGCATGCGACGGTGAGAGGGCCATAGATGACACAAATAAGTTCAACTGCGACACATCTTCTAAGATACGAACCTCCTGAAATCGATTTTGCTCCTCCGAGGGAATTCGCTGTCTATCCAAAGCGATATACTGGCGCTGAAACAAAATAAACGGCATGTACCTCGTTATATATAAAATAAAGGGCACACGGAAGTACGGATGACCATCTCGTAGGGAGCACCACCAGTATTTGAGGTGCGGTGGTGGATTGTTTTGTTGCTGCTGTTGTTGTCTCATGTTTTTTTTCTCACGGCACCAGTCCGCAAACGCCATCACGTGTTGCTGAAGCCAAGGCCTTGGATTCAAAAAGGCCATCAGACTGGGGGAGGAAACCTCCCTCAGTACTGTCATCTCCCTCGAAGGAGAGCTATAGCAATAACCCCTTAGGAAATACCACGTACAGTGACGCAGCGGGGCGGCACTACCCTTTCGATTCTTCCTTTTATGCTTCTCGTCTCCTCCACTCTTTTCATCGTCAGGGTCACTGTAGACACATTTCTCCACCTCCTCAACGGCGCGAAAGATCAACTGCTGGCAAATAAGTATGCTGTGTGCTGTCACACACGCAACTGTCGCCTCACCTTCTTCTATGGCTTCTCTTGTGGTGGTTTCACAACGCCGAAACACAGGCGCTTGAATCATGTACACCCTTTTAGCCTCACCAGTGTAGCCTACTCCAAGACACGTGCTGGTGTGTGCGCCAAAAGTGAACATGGCTACCTCGCGCGTATATGCCACCACAGCTGACAGGGTTGCCTGCTCATTAAAAACCGCAAACACATACTTCTTAACCACCTGTTTCATGTCAACTGTGTCGGCTGCGTTGACCTCCACTGCCGACCTTCCGTCTTCCGTCGGGTTGATGGGCGGCGTGGTTGTTCCACCGTCGTTGTTTCCAAATGGTTCGTCGGAAGAGGGAAGCCCCGCGGAGCCCGTCACTCCACACCCGACAATGACCTCTGCGGGGGCTGAAGAAACGGAATGGGAACCGTCGACCCCGGCCGCATTGCCCCGCTCATTGCTGTCCGCACTGGGGCCTCCTTTTGCCAGCGTACGCCGCAGCGCAACGATTTCCAGTACGTCCTTTTCGGTGAAGCACACATCGGGAGTTGCACTGGTGGAGATGAACGAGGCAGTGACGTCCTGGTCGTGCCGGATGAGAATGACACGACTGAAATCCAAATTAAAACCGTGTTTTTTTGTAGCGGCCATCATCTCCGCCACGCTCCACTCGTAGTCGGGGAGTCCCACGGCATCTCCGTGTACCGGAGCAAATGTTGCCAGAGCCTCCCCTGCCGTGGAGTAAAGAGCCACCACCTCAACTCCTTCGCGGCTATTTCGTGTGCGGAGACGAGGCACTCGTTTTTTAGGCGATGGGGGTGACTCCTCCCGCTCCACCTCCGACTCCAGGCGTCTTTTGAGGCCTGCCACAACAGCGCTACGTACCTTTACAAACAATATTTTGCTGTTTTCAAGTCCCACCCGAAGCGCGTCCATGTAGGGATCATAGCACATCAGGCTCAGTCGCGATGAAAAAGTCATCTCATCAAAAAGACACCACAAGTCTCGAAGCGCCTCAGCTGCCCGTGAGGGTACCTTCCCTTTGGCACGCCGCGTGACACATGAAAGCATGCCACGATCCCGCCGAACAAACAGAAGAATGGTATCGGCTGGATCGTTAATGCATAGCGTTCCATCGGGCAGAATGACCGGGGCAACTCCTGAGCCCGCAATAAAACCCAAAGAGGTGACGTTAAACCAGTTACGGCGGATATTATCTCGCGCGCGGTAGTAATCAGCTTGGTGCCCCAGCCACTCTTCTCTGGCACGGCGACAGGACCTCCGCTCGTAGCGCAGTTGCGCCCCCAGAGCCTTGCCCTCTAGCTGCATTTTTTGAAGAGTTTTTTCTTCCACATTCGGACTTAGTCTGGTTGCGATGTAACTCGCCAACCAATGCGACCAGACCCGTTCTCTCCGTTCGAGTATTGCCTCGCGGATGCGCATGACCCCGGTCAATGTGTCTGTTCCCACAGTAGGGTCCATCGCCGCAGAAGTGAGAGACGGGGCGAGGCTCTGAATACCGTGGGATAAGAACGCATTGTTGAACGAGCGACACACAGCCCTGTATTGGAACAGACTTCTGGTATCTAAAAAACTCATGATGACGGATACAAGCTCCGTCGGTAACTGGTGGTCCAAACTGCAGTAGCTGTGTGGCGGTGTCGTGCGACGGCTCAGTGCATTGCCCTTGGGACGCATACCCACCACGTCGTGTACAAATAACCCACAGTTTATTTCCTTCATCTCCACACTAGAAGGCAGCGTCTTTATTTCATTTGACAGCTCCACGGCGACTGTCCGCGGAGAGAGGGGGTTCTGAAGATCTGTGAGCATCGAGCCCACAATCTCCTGAGACTCCAAGAGATGAATGTTACTGCCACCCCGCCTTTCAGGCAGGCGGCGCGAAAGTTGCATGGCACCAATCACACCCTACAAACGTAGACCCTCGTTATTTCTGTGCGTTCCTCGCTGCTCCTTCAAGAATGCCTTTCTCTCACGTCCTAACTCCCCTACGCCTCGCGTTCCCCTCCTACAAGCCCTTATTCTTCCCTGCGTCTTCCGTCTCCTCGCTTCGTGACGGCCCACGGCACTCGCTTACTGCCAACCGTCAGCCGTAAAGAGCCAATACTACGTGAGCCTCTACGCGTGTGTGTGTATCAGGCGGAGTGCACGGATGCAGACGGTGCCACAAATACCACCACGCACAAGAACTGGACCCCACACACGTGCAGGACATTCACAGTAAAGTAGGCACAATAAAAAAAATAAATAAATAGAAGAGAGAAATATTCATCGACCAACACAACGCGTGATGATGACAGGTCAAACACACACAGACAAACAAACACGTAGGCACACATGTCTGTGCGCAAAAACACTCACGAGGAATCACTCAGTTAATTCAAAGGAAGGACGGCACCTCCGCCTCCGCCACCCAACTTGTCGTTCCAAATGCAGAAACCCACACACATCCTCCCCTCCCTCCCTTTTCCTATTTACAGCGATAAAGCCAAAACGCACAGAAAAGAAAAGAAAAAATAAACGGGTGCGGGTCGCTTTCAAGGAACGAACTAATAATAATAATAATAATAATAAGAGGGTCTCATCCGCTCATGTTTGCCGTTCCTCCTCTTCTGCCTGATCAATCACTCTAACAACAGAAACAGAAAAATGTTCATTTATAAAATTCCACCATGGCACCTTGCATTCCCCCATTTTTGTTTTTATTTTTCTTTGTGGTTCAACAACCAACACACACACACACACACACACAGAGAGAGAGAGAGAGAAAGGAGAGGAATGCAAAGGTGTACAAATGTATGTATGCACAACGGTGTGGACCAGTCTTTCCTACACACCCACCCAGGTGCATGCATGTATGCGTAAATGTATACACAGTTATGCAAGACACCGAGGGCCAAAGAAATAAAAACAAGGGGAAAAACCAACCAACCAACCAAAATACATACAAGCATACACATATATTATTTATTATTATTTATTATTATTACAAGGGAATAAAAGCACTAGAAAAACTCTTTGGCCGCCACAATTGTTCCGAGAACGCCACCAACAAGACCAAAGATCAACATAACCCAATTCAAAGGACGCTCCCAATACTTCGTATAGGGCAAAATCCCAGTTTTATGTAGCCGGAGGCGGTAGAGTGCGGGGTAGGTGAAGCACAAGCTGCTACTGCACACACCACCCAACAATGCCACCACAGATACAACACCCGGCACCAAAAAAGCCGCCGTGAGACATGTAACAGAAAGCGAGACACTCACAATAAGGTGATCACGTGTGGGTATACGTTGCTGACACGCGTCATACTTCTCTAAACCACTGTCCGTGACATACCCCCTATCCACCGCTTCTGTGGCCGAGCTATAACCATACCACATTAGAAAAATGGCGTCACGTGTTGGAAAAAGAATGATCACAAACGCCAGATTCACCGGAATCACGTACACAGAGTAGCCAATCGCAAACAAAGTGTCTGTCGTCGGGTCGAAGTTACTCATGACATTCTCACGGACATCGGTTGGGTGACCTAGGTAGCCAAACATGCCCACCGCGGCGTGAATGGTCCCAGAGAGAAGAAGACTAATGACAGAGATACGCATCATATTCCGTCGGTTCATTTCCTTCAAGCCGGAGTAAACCTGAAAAACAAGTGATTGACAGTCGAAGGAAAACATCATGATTGGCAAAGCCAGTAAAGGATGCTTGCCGGAGAACCACGATACGGCGTCGGAGGTTCCCATTCCTGAAGAGCATTGCGACACATTGTCATCGTCGCCGCCGCCACACCCGTTGGGAACAAAATAACGCACCACCACAAGCGATGAAATAAAACAAGTCACAGCAATGGCAAGAAATGAAGCACCACGCAAAAAGGAAATATCCGGCACACACGACAGCGGGAGAATAACAAAAATCCAAAACACAAAAAGCGTATGTTTTGTCGTGACAAGCCAAGGAAAGTGAAGCGATATAGCGGGCTGCAGCGGCTCAATGAGTTCTCCAAGAATCACCAGATAGCTGATGGCAGAGCCGGTATTATAAACAAGCAACATCCACCGTACAAATTCCTCATTGTACCTTCCAAGCAGCTCCCGATTGATCTGTTCATATGAGTTCACCCCAAGTTTATCGATGCATATGACCATGTAATCAATGGACACAACTGTGAGTAGTGCAACAAAAATCAGCACAACCAACGCAAGCACCACACCAGCGTCTGAAAAGGCAGATGGGAGTGTGAGAATACCCGCACCAATCGTCGTTACGGCAAGGATGAGTGCACTCCCAAGCACCCCACCCTGGCTCATTAGTTTAAAACAACAACAACAACAACAAAAAAATACTAACTGTGATGTAAATAAATTTCCCACTCTTTATTTTATCTCTTGTTTAAAATTTAACAAAAATATTATGTAAAGAGCTCACGCCAATATATATATATATTTTTATGTATATACACACACATACACAGGCACATACAGGGGGGGGGGGGGAAGAAGCAGGCGAACTAGCCGATGATGTCTGCACCAGGAGGTGGGAGAGGGGTGATGCTGGCCGTGGACAGTAAAGAATTGGTATCCCTCTCTTCCTCAACCTCCCAAACCCAACGGAAGAACAGCGAACACAGAGAGCCGTAGAAGTGGGTGGAAACAACTGGCCGTATATATGTATATGTGTATGTATATATTGTATGTGTGTATCTGTGTGTGTGACTGTGAGTTCGACTAATCGCCCTCTATTCCTGCTCTTGTTGATTCCGTGCCGTGAGAAGAGAGAAAAAATTAAACAAACAAAAAGGGAATAATAATAATAAAAGAGTGACCAGCAAGGCAGTGATAAGAAGCAAACGAGATGCATTTGGTTCCCAACACAAACACACAGACACAAACAAACAAACAAACAGCAAGAGTCACACACAAATAATAAAAGAAGCTACCCCCCTGACACACATATTCCCACTTACGCACAGAGAGGGCTATAAAAAGATGCAAACATCCACTTTTCTTCTCGTCTACACACAAAATAATAATAATAATAATAATAAACAAATAAAAAACAAAGAAAACAACAACAACAACAGAATATAAAAAACCGTTTCCTCCCCCTCCAAAAATTGGCAAAAAAAAAAAAGGAATTAAACAACAACAAAGCGCGTGCGCATGGGTTGGCGCTAAAGACATTAAGTCCAATAAACAAAAAAAAAGACAAATAAATGTGTCGAATGTGGTGGAATAAGCAAATATGGGGGATCATATGCCACCTATTCTCCAAATAACCCCGTCAGTCTCGAAAACTCTGCTGTTATTTCGTAGGATGTGAGTGCGGCTGCTGCATCACGAATGTTATCGCCCTGACGGACAGCATCCATGCTATTCATGGAGCCGTGGCTGCCACGCCCTTGTCGCAAGCAGACCGCACCCTCTAGACGCCGCCGCGGGATCCGCACTGAGGACGCATCTTTATTTGTCACGCTGCTTCTTTTTTCTGTTTGCACGAAGCTCTTATTTTCAAACTTCCACCTGCAATTTGGCTCGCAGGTGATAGCCTGGTGACTCTCGGCCCCGGCGGCCTGACTCGAAGATGACGTGCAGTGATTGGATTGATTCGGACGCATTTCCGCCACCACCGCGGGACCACCCAACTCCAGCAACGGCTGTAATAATTCCTGCTGCGGCATATCTCCGAATTCACCGCCCAACACCATTCCATAATTTGGCTCATCTTCCTCGGAAACGCGCAGTGGTTTCTCTCCATTGACGGCAGTACCCAAATTGCCATTTGCCAGCTGCATCTGCATCCGCGGAGAGTTCATCCGCGGGCTCCACTCCAACGACGATGGGGAAAACAATGGGAAAGACTGCGAACACACGATGGGCGCTTGTCCCAAAATAAAAGGATGCTTCAGCAGTTCTTCCACTGAGAGTCGCTTTTTACAGTCCAGGTGAAGGGCGCACTCCAAAAAATTAAGCAGCGTTGGACTGGCCCCACATCTGCGCAGACAGTCTAGGCTTGGTCCTTTCTTGGCTCCACCAATTCTCCACACGACAATGTGTGGCGACAAGTCATGAAGTTCTTCCCATGGCGGGACGCCCATAGCCATTTCATATACCATGCACCCCAATGCCCATACATCTGAGGCAAAAGTGGACTCCTGTGTAGAAATGAGCTCCGGGCTCATATATATTGGGGTCCCACAAAGCTTCTTCTCAGCACCCTGCGTGGGACAACCAGAGCCTCTACCCGGAAACAGATCTGAATCAGAATCGGCAACGTAAATAGTTTGAACAAACCTGCTTGTACCAAAGTCACTAATTTTAAGGTTGCCCTTCTCCGTCATCAGCACATTGGCAGTCTTCAGATCACCATGAACCACACCGCGGGATTGAAGATACTCCATGCCTTGCAGCACCTGTAACGTATAAAGACGTATGACATTTTCGTTAAAGGCCCCAAAATTTTTAATCAAATCTTGCAAAGTTCCACCAGCAACGTACTCCAAAACGATACATATTCCCCGAGGGATTTTCTTCACCCCAAGACACTGCACAATGCGATGGTGGGTAAGGTACGTAAGAAAGTAGAATTCCCGCAAATATTCATCCGATAAGGCAGGAAACCCATGCAAGGCTTCATTATTTTTCTGATAAACGTTCGAGGAATATATTTGACGTGGCGGCTTCCATGAGGTTCCAGGCGGCCCCTCCATCACTGAAGCTCGAGGACTTGACGGGGAGGAAAAACCGTCATCTTGAAGTACTTTCAATGCCAACCTCCGACCGGTGCCCACGTCCATGCCGGCATACACCACACTGCTTGCACCGCGCGCAATTGGACAGCCCCATTGTAACTGAAGGGGAAAAGGCGGTGCCTTTACGGATTGCTTGAGAGACTCCCTTTCTTTTCCTGCGCCTGGTCCCTGTTGCGTATTCTTCCGCCCACCAACTTCCAAACCCACGGCGTTGTCTAGCAAGTGGTAGGATTGAAAACAAAATTTCTCAACGTAAATTGTATTTGGAAACCCAATTGACAACGTGGTGACATCATCCACGGGAACCAAAGAAAAGGAGTCGGTGGCGCTTCCAACCCCATTCTCCTCCCCGCCACCACCACTCAAGTTGCTTTGCTGAAAGGCCACAACGCCAATGTCATCTCCACTTTGTAGCTGACAGCGTCGACCTTTTCCTACCTTCGTGTCATTCACGTACGTTCCATTGCTGCTGTGGTCCTCAAGATAGATTCTCACCTCTGAGGCACGTTGGCGTGGCAGCCGTGAGTGATGATGCGCGTCATCGTGCTGCTCTTGAAAAGAAAAGAAATTGTCCTGCGAACCCAGTAAGGGTTGCCCCATTGTTATTGTAGTACCTGAGGGCATGTGTGGTCGAGTTGCCCGGCTCGGATGACGATACGGACCTCGCCCGCCAGGTGACGGCACGCTCACCTCGACGGAAAAGGTAATGGTAAAGTGAACCGCACTGATTCGGGGGTCATCCAGGACAACGTCACACCTTGGAGATCTCCCACACGTGATTTGCCGTCTTTCTGAGAGAAACAACACGCGGTGCTTATCAGAAAGAAGAAAACCCCAAGGTCTCTCTGTTGTCATGGCGGGATTTTCAGAGGAGACCTCAACTAAGGTGCTCTGCGTGTTGGACAGAGGATCCCGCCTCGCGTTATCTTCAACACCTCGAAGATTCATGTTTCACGTTCGTCACTGATATGTGCTAGTCGTTATTATTATTATTATTATTATTATATGTCTGTATGTATTTATGTATATGTATATCAGTATGTGAGTGTGAGTGCGCTCGCCTTTCGGCTTCCCCAACCCGTAAATTGTTATTCGTGTGTGTTAATATGGTGTATGGGTGTAGCCGGGACTGTTCCTAACAGCACCTCTTTTTTCCCGATACGTGGCAACTTCCATTATTGAGCCAGTAGAAGCACATAACAATGGGAAAACAACAGATGCGCAAAAAAACAAACAAAAACAAAAACAAAGAAAAAGTGGTAAGACCATTAAGAGAACGCATAAAGAGTCAGACAAGATGTTTTGGATAAAAGCAGACATATTTGTTCTGTATATATACATATACATATATACCCCCACAAATGAAGAGCCAAACTTACCCATATGTGTTTTTTTCACCACTGTCCAAATTCCTTTTTTCCTTCATCATCTCATATTTTTCTAAACGCATGATACGCGGGCTCCTGTGCATAGTGACGCTCCACCTCCCGTAATTCTTCTTCTTTAATCTCAAGCGGCAACATACCACGCTCTGCCCACTGCTGCTCCCGAAACTCGGCATCTGCGTCATACTTTTCCCGCAGCTCTGGGTCATTGCAGAGGTCAAAGATGAGTTGCTGCCGGGCGAGGGCCTTTTTCTGTAACGCCACATACGCCTCCCACGCCTCGCCTTCCACCCCTGTCAATGGTGCAGCCTCGCGTATCTCGCCATGCCGCTCCTCCAGCTCCCGTGCACAAAGCGCTGTCAGATCCTCTACACGATATGCGTCGACAAACGGAAAAGAAGGGTCTGCGTTGGCGCCAAATTCCAACGCATCTGTGGGACGAACAATTGGCGGATACTCCGCTTGCTGCGAGGAAAGCTGCGGCACATCCAGGCCGTATCCCGGCTCATACCCGGGAACGGGTGGCGTCAACGAGGGGCGGCGGTAGTTGCCAGGGGGCTGCTCAGAAGAAAGCAGCAGTGCCTCCTCACGCGCCTGCTCCATGCCAAGCTCCGCCATCGCCTCCAGAGCCTCCGTCATGCGGGCGGCAAGACGGGACATGCGAGCCGCAAATTTTTTCTCACCGATGGCACAGTAGCGGTCGAATGCAAGCGCAATACGGCGCTCGTTGTCCACATCGTGCTGCCGCTTTCGACTGTCATTGCAGTGCCTCTTTTCGTGCAGATACTCCATCGCCGCCTGTGCCCACTTCTCTTCACTTCCCACCTTCCCCGCGCTTGCCATGTACCCTGCCGCAGTCTGCTTCTGCAGAAGGGCAAAGCGATGGCCACCCCAACGACAGGCCATCACCTTCAAAGAAAAAACTCCTTTTTTTCTTATTATTCTCTTGGTTCAGTCCCCGTCCCCTTCTGTTCCCTGCGGGCTCTGCCCCTTCACGCACAGCCGTGGGATAAACGGATGTCGGACTGACTGACGGTTCGCCCGACCGTTACGCACACAACCCACACAAAGCGTGCAGAACTAAAAAACAAGACAACAACAACAACAAAACACACACACGCAATAAATCAAACGTTGCATATGTGGGGAAAATAAAGAATGGGAATAAGCAGAAAAAAATAATGAAGAAAATTATGGGATGAGAGCCACGCAACACAACACCACCCCAGCACATATCTACCCACCCATCACACGCACCACATCGCCCAAACACCCAAGGGCCTACAGACACACACAAACACAAACACACAAACACATACAAAAAGGAAAAGAAAGAGATAAACATAAGAAGCCAGAGAATTCGCAATCCAAAGGGTTTCTTCAGATGGACGTCGTGTGTTCCCTAACGACGACAACAAGAGAGAGAGAGAAAAAACGCATGAGCAGAAAGAGAGGGAAATTCCATCGTCTCTCGTGTCAGTGCCACTTTCCACTCAGTTGCTTTTTATTCCACAGTTTGTGCCAGAACGCAGGCATAAAGAAAACATCAGAGGCGGTACTTGCCCCCACGTTGACGTGCAGCACACATAGACGGACCGAGCGACCCACACACTGAGTGAGAGGAAAAGAGAGAGAGAGAGAGGGAGAAAGAGAGGGGGGCAAATCAAAATAACAACAAAAACAACAAAAAGGGGTCTCATCAATGCGCCGTCAAATAACATCTATGCAATCCCGTTATAGAAAGACAAAAAGACAAAAAGACAAAAACAATAAGAAGGAAGAAACAAAACGCATTTATTTCCTGGAAAACGCACACACATTTTCTTTTCTTTTTCCTTTTTTGTTTTTCCCGCATTCATCCAAACCGCCCTTCTTCCTTCTCTCGTTTATCAACACCCTCCCGTATATATATGTCTATATATATACGCATATTACATCTACACCCTCGCTCTTCCCTTCGCATTTCCTTTTTTCTCCTCTGTCCTCCCTTCTCCATTTCCTCCTTCGTGTTATTTGCCCGTTTCCTGAAGCCATACATATGTATACATATATATTTCCTTCTTCAAGGGCTATCTATTCTTTATAGGTTTTTCCCGTCCTCATTTATTCTCTTTTTAAAAAATTCCCCTTCCCTCCCATTCGCTTCCGTTTTGGCTCCTGCTTCGGTACGCTTCTTGGGTTTTCTATGAATGGAATCTAAGACGCCTCCAACATCTCGTCAAATCGGCCATTGTCTACATCCTCCACGTTGTCTCGTTCAATCGTCCTTTGAGCCGAGCGCCCCTCGCCGGTGACATCCATAGACGGAAGGGCGGAGCCACACTGCTGCTGCTGCTGTTGTTGTTGCTGCTGCTGTAACTGCCGATGACGCGGTGCGGTCTTGGGGTACTTTTCATGGAACATCACACTTTCCTCGTACACCGCCTTCTTCACGTCATGCACCGTTTTTTGTTCCTGCTCGTCGAAGCTGAAAAGGGGTATGTTGATGGTTTCGTATTGCTCGTCGTAAAGTTCCGCCAGGAACGGGTGCCGAAGAGCCTCATCCACGGTGATGCGTTTATCGGGGTGAAAGACGAGCATGCGCTTCAGCAGATCGAGCGCCTCCTCAGACGCCTTCGGGTACTTCGCGCGCCAGTCTAGTGGGGGACGAGTCTCCTTCTTGCGGAGGTACTTCTGTGCCGGCAGTGAGCCGAGGGACTTTATATCCTCCTCGGACGGAGTGCCAATCACCTCAATGATCTTGTCGAGTTGTCGCACACGGTCCTTGCCTTGGAACAGCGGTCGTGAACCAAGCAGCTCGCCAAGAATACTCCCTACGCCCCAGACGTCAATTTGCGCGGAGTAGTTCTTGTCCTCCATCACAAGCTCCGGTGCTCGGTACCAGCGCATTGTCACGTAGTCAGTCATGTTCTCTCCACGGTCATTTTCCTCCTTTGCGAGACCAAAGTCACATATTTTCAAATCACAGTTCTGGTTCACTAGAATGTTCGCTGGGGTGATGTCGCGGTGAATAACCCCAGCGGTATGAATCACCTTCAATGCATGGAGGATTTGATAAATGAAGAACTGAACATGAGCCTCCGTCAGCTCTTGGCCAGTGCGTAGCACTTGCTTCAGATCTGTTTCCATGATCTCCATGACAATATAGAAGTGATCAAAATCTTCACTGTCAAGCGGTGTGAGAATGTTTCGAAGAGCAATAATATTCTCATCGTTAAAAAATGAAAGTAACTTAATCTCACGCAACACACGCTTCGCCAAAATCATCTCCTCAAATATTTCCTTGTTTACACGTTTGAGGGCTACAAGTTCGTTGTCATTGAGTGTGTCCCTGGCACGTATTACTATTCCATACGAACCGGCACCAATGATTTTCTCCAATACGTAGCGACTATCCAATGAGTTCACCTCCTCCTGCAGTTCGGACAAACTCCGTATTTGATGACTCATGTTGAGTGCAGTTCACACTATGGCCTCACCCAAATACACACACAGACACACAGACAAAAAAAAGTAGTCTATATATAAGTGAGCAAGGAAATAACAAATAATAGCAATAAAAAAAGATCGCACTTCCGTTCGGTTAAATTTCCTTTTTTTTTTTTTTTTTGAATTTGTTTTCCCCTTCCTTCTTTTCGTTTCGTGAGTGTGTGTGTGTGTTTCTTTGTCCTGTGGCAAACAGGCACCCCGTCCTCCTCCTCCTCCTTTCTCCTCCTCACTTTTTTAATTTTGTTTTTTTCTTCTTTTTTTTCTTATGCCCTTCACCTGTTTGATGGGGTCGTGGCGGTCCTGTCTTCTCTCCCTCTCTGGTGTGTGCGTGCCTCCTTGCTCCTTCCCCCCTCCTCCTCTCGCTTCCCTTCAAAACCCAAAGGCCCTGCTTGCCCCGCCCCGCCCACACACACACCACCGACGGGAGGCGCAGGAAAGAAAAAAAAAGGAAAAGGAAAAGACATGCACTCAAAAGACGACTCCCCTCTCCCAAGAGAGAAGAAAAAATCTACAGGCAGTTGATTGATCCTCCACACCCTCATCTTCTCCACCGGGCAAAAACAGGGAAGTGCGATGGAGAGGATGAATAGTTGCAGCGTCTCCCCGCAACACAAAAATGCCGGCAATCGCCGGGGAGAATAAATAAAAAAATGCACCACCACCACCAAAAAAATAAATAATAAAAAAAGGGCGCATGGAAGAGAAAACACCCACACACAACCACCACTGCCGCTCAAAAGAGTATAAAACAAACAGGGAGTGGGTTTATGACATTTCAACGGGTACATTTTCCCCACCACCCCTTCTGGCACAAAACAACAACAAAACGGCGTCAATACTTTATTTTTATTTTTATATATTTTTTATCTCTTGCCATTTCCTCCTCCCCCACCACCACCACCAACAACAACAACAAATCTCACTGCTCGCTCCTTTACAAAATGTTTGTAAAGACTCTTGCCTCCATTACGTCTTCCTTTTCCTGCACACACGCTCACATGTTCCCCAAATATATGTAAACAGTAAAAAAAAAACTACCGTATCGCAGCCTCCTTTATGAAAGATCCTCGGGTCTTCAGCCGTTGCGAATGTGTCTATATATATATATGTATATATATATATCTTTTATTCGTTGTCACTTCCCTTCGTTTTTTTCTCCCCCCCCCCCCTCTCATGCGCTATTAAAAAATGGGGAAAATCAATCCGATTCACTCGTACTGGGTGTCGCCACGGGAGCTCTACGGGGCGGTTTGGTCTGCCGGCGACTCAGCGGCTTCTCTACACCAGTGAGGGGCACAGCGGCTGCATCGGGTGCAGGTGCCTGCTTCTCCTGCCTTCTTCTTTTCCTTGCGTAAGACGTCGACAGTGGGACATTGTCATCATCGGACTGATCAGGAATGGAGGAGGCCGCTGTGGCTGCATGTCCCTTCGGCGAGCCGTTCCGATGCGCAGCAAATGCAGGGGGGACTGCGGTCGCAGTGACGTCAAGAGTTTGATTGCTGCCAAATGTGCGGTAAAGCGGGACATCATCGCTTTTTTCGCTCTTATCATCGTGCGGGGTTTCTTTCCTGTCCTCCTTCGGCTGCGGCGCGGCAGTCGGATCCTCCGCCGCTGCCGGGGCCTCGTTCTTGCGCTTCCGCCCTTGCCGTTTCTTTCCCGCGCCAGCGTGGGACTCTCCCGCCGCCTCTTCCGCCTTGCCGTTCTCCTCAGCATGCTTGCCATTCCCTACCGTTGTTTTTGTTTTTGGCCCTATTGCTGCTGCTGCCTGCAGTTCTTTTGGCTGCTGCTTTGAATCCTGCTGCCGTCGGTGTTGCTGCGGGAGCGGACTGTCGGAGGTCTCCTGGACAGTCTCCTGCTCCTTCACAAGAACAAGTCGGTAGTGGCTGCCTGGCGTGACAATGACATTCCCCTCCGCATCGAAGGGCAACAGCAGATGACCGCTCGACGACTCCTGCAGTGCCAGCGAGCTGCCGTGCTCCCTGCATCCAAAGGCATAACTCGGGTTGAATGTATTCTGCAGCTCTGAGGCAAGACGAATCGTCAAGCCATCAATGACGATGGTGGGCATCCAACTCCAGCGAGCCCTGTAATTTGTGTTCCTGCATGCATGCGCCATCGCAGAATGAGAAAACAAGGCAACAGGAAAGAAAAAGAATTAAAAAACAACAACAAACAACAAGCAGACAAACAAAAGAGTTTTTTTTTAAACATTTTTTTTTTAGATTTCAAACAAATCCAACGGTCTGCACGTGCCCTTCAGACCTCATGGTGTCAAAACTGTTTCCCGGCACGATGCGGTTGCTCCGGGCGCTGGTCGAATGCCGTCAGCCCCGTGGCCACAACAACAATTCTGTGAGAGAAACATGGCTGGCTCTTGGCTTCCCCCCAGAATACGGGGCAAGTGGCCCTGACAACACACTGAAGCGGCCCACGGCATTGCCAGGGGAGGATAAAACAAGTGGATTCCAACACGCAAGAAAAAGGCAAAGACACACATAAAACGCATCACACCGCCGTTACTTCACCGCCAACAGTACGACCACCCTTTACGAGGCGGACGCGCATTGCTGCCCTCGCGGCGTGCTCACTCTGTTGCGTGCCACAGAAGTCGCCACTGCTCCTATCATGTTGCAGGAACAAATCCGCATTACAAAGGGGCTCCACGAAGAGGCGAACATCAGCCGCCGCCGCCAGCCACACAGGAACACCCAATGGCTTTGATGGCAGCGTCCTTTCCGTTGCTAATTTTCTGTGGTACACGCTTGTACACCCATTTACAAAAACCACTGCCACACTTCCCCCACGGCAATCAACAGAAACCTCCTGGCCACTGACACTCGCGTCATGCGCATGATGATGACGCTCACGCTTTTCCACGTCGCCGCTTCCCACATCCCTCCAACCATTACCAATCAGAATGGCGTTGCGCACTTCTCGTACAAGCGCAGCCGCCATCCAATGACGTGCATGATTTGTCGCCCCACACGTGGGATGTTCCCAGAGACGCGCCACGTTATCCACCACAACCAGCACGCGACGTCGGTTTGCATGATGACACGATTCGAAGTACTCCACACGGCTGAGAAAGCGAAAAAACACCAGCAAATCATTTGGTGTTGTGAAAGGCACAAATTTTATTTTCTTCAGCATCACTGACGGGAGGCTATCCGCGTCGCCATCGCACTGCACGCTGTTTGCCGTTGCCGACGCAAGGGCCTTCTTTAGAAGCTCATGAATATGCTGCGGGCTGACGGACGATGGGTCCGAAACAAGAAGAAAGACGGACCAGTCACACGGCCCACATTTTGACTCCTCTACCTCCTCATGTGGCTGCTGCTGCTGCTGGGAGTCGACACTATTGCCTCCCACCGCCGTTCTGCTCCTTGTCGCCGCCGTCCACTGCACGCTTCCCCGCGCCGCGAAGGCTGCCACCATTTGCTGCACGAGATGCGACTTGCCTGCGGCGGGCGGGCCAAATATCTCCAACACCGTTCCGCACGCCACACCGCCGTCTGGTAGCAGTCGGTCGATCGCCGCGCTGCCGGTGGAGAAGACGGCCTCTCGACTGAAACATCGCCCAACCTCCAAAACGGAGGACGCCGACGCGGCAAGTGCGGCAAGCCGCCGCGAAACATCTTCCGCCGTCAGCGCTTCCCAGGGGGGAGGCATGACGGCCATCCAAACGATTTTCCCCTGCTTCCTTTGTCTGTCGTTTTTTCCCGTCGCTTTTTGCCTTTCTCCCCGCAGACAGCAAAGAAAAAAAATATACGCGGCAAGGAGGAAGACAGTTGTCTTCCCTTTCCGTTTGTCTACAACGGGATTCCGCAAAAAAAAAAAAAAACAAAAAAAAAGAAACACAAAAATCCCTTCCCCTTCTCCCCTTCCCTCTGTGACTTGTCTGTGCTGCGGCAAAAACAACAACGGGAATAAAAAAAAACCACTCAATGAGGGGGATGCACGCATCATCGTTCCCCTCTCCCTTTCATCATAAATCACGAGCAAAACGGTGACGCTACCAAAGGAAGCACTTCACTGAAAAAGGAAAGAAAAATATGAGGGCGCCAACGCATGCACAGGACGGCAGCAGCCACTGCGCGAACCAAAATGGGTCATAAACCATTTTTTCTCTTGACTACAATTCATGAGGCCCCAATTCTCTTTCGTTAATGATTACGTTTTCCATCATATTTCCTTGCGCCCGCCGCGGCAGCCCAACGAGTTGCAGGAGTGCACGCATCAGAGCAAATGACATCACGGCAGGAAATGGCCAAGCCTGAAACCACACGTCCCAGTCCAGTTGCGTAAAAACAGCGCCCGAGAGGATGGCTGTGAGCAGCAAAAGTGTTTCTATCATCCGAAAATGATTCCCTTCCCTTTTTTTAAAAAAATTTTCCAACGCGGATATTCCATTTACATCGGCCAGTAGCGTCTGGCGTATATCCTTCAATTCCATCGGCATCGTCAAGCTCAGCAAGAGTCCGAAAGCGAATGTTAAGACCGCCGTGTGGGCCTCTGCAACGGGAGCGCCACAGAGAACAAACACAAGGCTCCACAACAACGCCTCACGAAGTGGGAGGAGGAGGCCGCTTGCCATCGAAAAGCGCTGAATGCCTCCGCCCCCTCTACGACCACAACCGGACACGAAAAAAAGAACAACAACAAAAAACAAAAATACACTCCTAAACAAACTCAAAAAAAAAAAAAAAAGCAAAAAAGAACAGATGGTCAATAAAAAGGGCAAAAGAAATGTGCGAGGAGAGCCACACCGCCCCGGCGCAGGCCGAGGGAAAAGACACCCCACCCAAACAATGAGGAGAGGGGGAGAGAGAGAGGGAAAAAAAAGAAACAACGGCGGAAGAACAGTAAAGTGACATGGCGAGTTATGGTCCCACGTAGCAGAAATCGTAGGTCCAAAACAAAAAACAAAAAAACAGAGAAGTGACGTGCATCGGGAAACCCAACAGCCCCAATGGGTCAAATGCCTTACAAATATTCGACCAGCCATCCCAAATGAAGAGAACAGCAGCGGACAAACATAAAAAAAAAAAAAAAAGGAAAGGCCACAACGATATCAAGCCTTCAACGAGCACATTGGACACAGAAATCCTTCCTACTTTACTCCCTTTCCTCTTCATTTTTGTTGTGTTTGCGTGTCCTTGATCTTCTGCCTAGAACCACCAAAATGGGGGGATGCACGCTTTTCGAGAAACACCGGATGTGTCGCGAACAGCCGATTGACAAGCGCCATGCGCCGCATTTCGCGCAATTTATTTGCGCCCTCCTGCGCCAGGAAGCGCTGCTGCTCCTCCACGCTCCACCGCTCCATCGCCGAGAACTGCTCCTTCACCAGACGCACAAAATACGCGCGAAAGTTGTAGTCTGGAAATGCCCGCGCGGCGCAGAGCATCTTCGTGCGCAGACGTGCCATGGAGTGTTGGGTTGCGGCCGACATATCAACACTCTCCGGACCTTCCGCCTGCTTCAATTCCTCACACTCGTTCACTGCTCTCACTCTGTTCGTGCCACACAAGGAACACCCAAACCAACAAAGAACAAAACAAAACAAAAAAAAAAGAGAGAGAGAAGGGAAGAGCCAAACAAACAAACAAAAAATATATATTTATTGATAAACTCAAGAAAAAAACAACAACAACAACAACACACACACACAAACACAAATGGAGGGGGAAGCGTTGCATTCATCCAATAAAAATGTAAGCGTCAAGTTTTATCAAATCACAAATCATCGCAAGGACAGTTCCCATTGCCGTCTGCCAACACTCTATCCCTCAACAATAAATAAAAAAAAGCAAGGCAATCACTGCACAAGTGACACGTGGACAAGTGACCGTTTCACCCGGTCAAGCCCACCCGTACACATTTCGTTTCCTTTTGTCCTGATTGAAAAAACATACGTGACCGTTTAAATGATGCGGTCTGCAAATTCGGCTTTGCCGGATCCAATCAGCGCCTTCCCACTGGCCCAACGCGCTACAACGCCCATAACAGCAAAGAAGAGAATAAACATGAGAGACAAGCCCAACAACAGAGCAAAAACATCCACCCCCTTCATCGTGTGCAGGAGTACACGATTCCTCCACGTCCTACTCACCGGACAAAACGTGCCAGTCCCTAAATATATATATATAACAAATAACTCAACTCCTTTCCGTAATATCTTTTTCCCTATGGCCTAGAGGACCGCAATCAAAGCCCTGCGGACACACACACGCAAAGGAAAAGAAAAGCAGAAAGAAAAACCATAACTAACATGCACGCTGAAAAAGACAAAAACAAAAGGATCCCCCCCTCCCCTCCCCTCCAAAAAAAAAAAAAAAAAGAGGAGATAACGGCATCACATGGTGACATTTGGAGTGGATACAACATTAATAAACAGGCTGGATGTCGTCGAAAAAGGCCCGGCCTCACATAAAAACAAAAAAGGGGACACTTCTTCCCTTTCCCCCTCATTCATCCAGAGTCATTGTTTTTAAACGCAGAAGTATTAACAAAGTGCATGGCATATCAAAATTTTTCTTCCCTTTACTTTTTTCCTTTTCTCTCTCTTTCCTTCTTTCATTACCTCTCGGCGATGAGTGTTGTGTGCGCATGGCCCTTCATGTGAGCCCTGCCTCGTTACGGAGGTACTCACCCACATCTGCCTCATGAAACAACACGGTGCTGTTCATTTCGCACTTTCTGCACTCCAGTGTTCCAAGCGCGGCCACACCGAACCCCAACGGCACATCCCCCATGGAGAAAACTGCCACCTTCTGATATTTTGGCGTCGATTCCGTGATGCGGCCAAGACCGGCGCGTGTGACGTGACCGCCGTAAAGAAACTTCTGCTCCTGGTTCGGCTTCACCCAAACCTTAAAGAGGGAGTACTGTGCGATGTAATCCAGCGCCGTTACTTGAATGCGGATGTGTCCGTTGTGTGTCACCTTCGCAAAAAGGACACCAATACCCATCAGATTCGACTTGGCCACGCAACTGGCAAGTTTGGCAAGGCGCAGCGGCATGTACCATATGCGGTTCTTGTGCAGCCGAAACACATGTTCCTCTTCCTCGCCCTTGCGCTCTAGCAGGTGGGTTGTATTGGGCCCAATGTACTGCGCTAGTTTGTCGAACAGCCTCTTCGTCTCTTCCTCCGTTAGTGACCGCATGTAAACCGCCCCTTCCTACACGCGTATGTGTACATGTATGTGCGTGCGTCAAGGTGGCGGGCATGAATAGTCAAAAACAACAACAACAACAAAAACAACGCATGGAACAGCAAAGAGTCAATGCATCCTCACCAAAAAGTCCCCCAGCACCACGCAGAAGAGAACAACAACAACAACAACAACAACAACAACAACAGGGGATGCATGCATAAGCACAAAGAAACACACACACACCAAAAAAAAAAAAGGAAAAAAAAAGGCGAGAAGAAGCGGGTAAAGAAGCCAGCACAATAATTACTCACGCGCGGCGAGAAATATACACGACAAGAAACAAAGCAAAGCATACACGGAGGAAAATAGAATAATAAAAAAACAACAACTATCAAATAAATGTATGGCACATTTCACATTACCCAACAACCACCTTGTTTTTGACGTGCCTTCTTTAACTCTGCAACGCTTCTCTTTACGTCTATTTGTGTCTGCTGCACATTGAAGTCAATGCGATCCAAAATGCTTCCCTGCTCCACCACCATTGCGCCTAATTCCTTAAACATTTCATGCAACTCCGTAACACTTTTCAATATTTCTTGAACCTCGCGACTAAGCTCCTTTTGTTTCGCGTCCTCTTCAAGAAGTTCCTGGATATCAACCTGCGTATATCCAAGCTCAAGATATTGAGCAATCCTTTCTTCCCGCTCCATTCGTTTATGCGCCTCGCATGAACCAATCTGCTTGTATCGCTGTGTCTTCTCTTCACATCGCCGTAGCTGTGTGGCGTACAGCTCTTGTCCTTCGCGAAAAGACTGAATAATCATTGACAGGCGAGAGGAGAGGTGTTTCTTGGCGTTTTCCGAGGCCCTCACCTCGTCCTCATTGGTGGGGTCCTGTGGACGCATGCCGGAGATGATCATGCGTTCAAGTTCCCGAAGTAGCTTCTGAATGCCGTGCGCATTCTCCTCGATCTGTTGCCGCTGCGCCTCCTCCTCCTCATCGGAGAGAAACTTCGGCTGGAGAAACGCCCGCTGCTGCTCGTGCAGCCGCTCAATCTTAAGGTTGATCGTGTTTTCCAGCTCCAAAAAGTGCTCCAACGCGCGAATCCACGGAGACATCGCGTGGCCATGCATCCCCTTTTCGCTGTTGCCGTTTAGTGTGGCCTCTGCGGGCGACACCGGTGCCGCCTCGTTGCCCTTCCACCTCGACTCACCCAACCACTCCGCCTGGTGCTGCGCTGCCCGCCGCAGGGATGAAAACTCCTGCAGCCTATCTCTACTGAACGGACACGGGGATAAACTCATCGCACTCTCTCTAATCGCATTGACCTCCCCTCCCTCTCTCTCTCCTTCTCTTCAAAACAAAAAATACGGGCCCACAAGCACACACACAACTTACATATCACATGCAAAAAAACAAACAAACCCAAAGCAACAATTAAAAAAAAGAAACACGACCCCGAACATTCTCCTTCGACTCGATTCAACAGATGGAGACAGGATAGCCAAGGTGATATATAAATTTAAATATATGTATATATGCGTACCAGTCACATGCGAGGGGGGTGGGGTGGGCAAAGAAAAGACGGCACATCCCATTCAAA